ACCTGTGTGGTGCGCAATATATGTTGCACGATGTGTGTGGTGCGCAAGCTATGTGGGCGGCGGCGAAGCGCCGACGAGGCCGCGACGGAGGCAACATAGCCGCCAGACCAGCAGACAAGCTCATACGAAGGGCGGCGACGAGGCAGCGACTGGGCGGCGACGGCGGCAACATAGCCGCCAGAGCGGCAGACAGGCCCAGTTCACTAGAGCAGAAGTAAGACACCCCAAGTTCAAGTATTCCTCGGTGCAAGCACCATCTGGGAAAGCATGACCTCCTCTTCCGCCAGGTCCTCGTCCTCATCCTGTTATTCCTCTTGCTCGTCCTCCTACTTTTCCTCCGGACCTTTTTGCCGTTTCGCCCTCCGCCCGTCTCCCCGACCGTCGCGACCCTCACTCTTATCATCCACCCCCCTCCTACTCGTCTTCCGCCACTCTCTTTCCCCATTGCCATGATTACCTGCCCTTTTTCCTTCTCCTCCAGACCTTCCCCCACGTACACCTCGTTACCCCCGCCGCACCATCCTCACCCCATCACTCTTCCCCCACCTCGTCACTCTCCCAAGTTCATCCTGAGCCTCGTGGTCCTACTCCTTCTCAACCCCATCTTCCCCTCCACCCTCCTCCACAACTAAAGTCTCTCACGCATACTCCTCCACCTCACCTGATCACTCTTCTCCTTCGTCCTTCTACTTTTCCTCGCCCTCCTTCCCCTACGTATCGTCCTCAATTTGACCCTCCTTATTTTTCCCAAACTAGTTTGTACGGCTGTTCCTGGAAGGGCCGAAACCGTCCCCAGTGTAGGCCAAAGCGTTTCTGGTGCCGGACAGCCGAGACTGTTCCCGGTGTAGACCAGGCTGCTCTGCTTTTGGTCTTTGCGTTCTGGGTGTAGGCGAGCCTGGTTCAGTTGAGAGCCGTCGTTCCTGGTACTAGTTCTTCCCTAGTAACGTGGGGGGGGGGGTAGCAAATCTGATCACGTAGCTGGTTTGCCCAGCGCCTCCTGGCGGCGGGACAGGAACCGGCTGCACGCAGCAGATTCCCCCCCTGGCCATAGCGCAACCAGATCACCAAGATGCGAGGGAAGAATGCAAGGCCCCTGGGCGCCCACATTGAATACGAGAACGGAAGCCCATGGCCGAGGGCTTACGGCAAGGATGGGCCTGGATGCAAGGATGCACAGGAGGAGGAGGAGGAGGAGGAGGCGTCAGGTTCGTGCCGTGCCGATTTCGGCGTTGGTTTCTGACACCGCGGGGATCATTAAACCTTGAACGATAGAACGTTTCCGAAATATCCAAATCGTTCCACATCGAACGATTCTGGGTCGCGCGCGGCGTTCAAAATTGAACGCCGCTGGCGGGGTCGCCGCCGGTCGACACGACACGAACCTACCGTACCCCTGGAAACTACTGGTCCTTATCATGCAATTTGACTGCCACCCTCGCTGTTGTCCGACACGGCCTGCGTCCTCGGATGTCATCTTCCCAGACATCCGACGTGAGTTTTGCGATGCGCGGCCCCAAAGAGGTATTCCCCTGGCCCACCTCTTTGCCCCAGGCTCATATTTTGATTGCCCTGGGGCCCGACAACGGGCCCTAGAGACCGAAATCGAGGAACAACGCCAACATCTTGTCAATAATCAAACGCACCATTGGAGATCTGGGCTCTTCTTTCCCCCTCCCGCGAGACCCAAACACATCTGGACTATTTCCATGGGACCGGTTTCTGTACCGAGCCGTTTCTTGCTGGTTCCGGAGCCCGGCGAGGGCCCCAAGCGGCAGGCAAAACCAAGAAGCCGTCCGTCGCGAGTTGTGTCACGACGCGAGGGGGTCAGGGTATTCGATACTCCTACTGTCAAATTCTCAGTCGCCGCAAACTTTGCGACGCTGCCGCACCAAATACTTGTCGCCGCAAACTTGGTGATGCTGGTTGCGAAATACGGTAATTTGTAATATTGCGCCTGGCGACGACGCCTTTGATGAACCACTCAATGCCCTAGGTGCGCTAAACAACTTCCATACAAAGCTAACGAAGCGAAGTATAAGGAAAAGAGAAAAGGGTGAGGGGGAGGGCTCAGGGGTACCAACAGGAGCGAGGACGAGGAGACGGAGGGGGCACATGAAGGAGGAGAAAGACGGGGACGGAGGTGTGAGGACACACCTGTTCCGTGGGAGGACACGCATAGAAGAGACAACACAATATCATGCGCGGGGGGAAGGGGCTGCCAGGCTGACAAAGAGCTCTCGACCCATAATAGCCTCAAGGTCGCACCCTCTGTTGTGGCTCTCTTTCCACATACCTCTCCTCCACTCGGTGGACACTCCATGGCCAACTCCCTCAGCGAAACACCACGGAGCAGGAACAGTACTGCGTCTGACTGCCCCACCCCCAGGCCGGGAGAGGGTGAGCCACGAGGGCAAGCCACGAGCGGGGCGGATGCCATGACAATGTATCCTATCATTGAATTAAAGATGTATTACAGATGTGTAAAACATGTTTCAAACACGTTCTTACATATTTGAACCATGTCTGAAACGTGTTTCAGACAGCTGGAAACTACTTGGCAGCACGCTTCCTCTCCGTCCATCGACCTCCACAACACGGGCGGGGCGGATGACGAGGGCGGCGATAAAGACGGCGAGCACCGCGACGACGACGGCGGCGGCGGCGACGACGACGCCGACGGCGAAACTTTTCCGGTGCGAGGCCCACCTCCGGCCGGCGCGCGGCGGCGGCGGGGCCTGTCTCTGCCTGCGGCCGAGGCGCGCGCGCCCTCCGTCCGGGGGCGGGGGGCCGCGGCCGGCCCCACGGGCGCGCCGCGCCGGCCGCGCAGGGGCCGCCCGAGCGAGCGGTGAAATAGAGGCCTCCTGGCTCCCAGACATGGTCGCGTCGTGAAAAAATCAGGACGGGAGGTTTTTGGCTCTTTTTGGCCCCGGGGGGGCCTCGCCGGGCCTCGGGACCGTCAAAAAAACGACTCAGGACGAAAAACCGGTCCCGGGGAAAGGGTCGGGACTTCCAGGGACGCCGTCCGGAAAAAATCAGGACATCGCATGTCTGGGCTCCGAGTAGATGGGGTCGGAGGATCTCGCCGCATCGCCGATGCATCGGCGCTGCTCCCGCGACGTCGGCTATGCATCGGCGACGTCGGCACGGAGAAACATTGGGCTCCACATCGACCCGCATCGCCGGTGCATTGGCGATGCGGCGCGATCCTCCGACCCCAGCTACTCCGACCCCATCCAGGAGGCCTAGATGAAAGGAACGCGGGCCCCCCGCCCCCAGGACCAACAAAAACATCCTGAAATGCCCAGCAGAGCTCGAAATCGGTCCCGGGACCCCTCCCAAGCGCACCGGTGGTCCGGGCTGCGTCCAGCCGTGGCGACGAGGGCCCCACCCGAAGGCCCACTGCCGCTGTCTCAACGGAGGGGCAACGACGGGAGGGGGGGGACCAGCTCAACGGGGGGTGACATCGACCAGGAATCGGCGATGCGTCGCCGATAGATCGGCGATGGGCCCCCAGATACCGAAACCGCACGTTGCTGGGCGGGGTGGGTTATATCAGGCCCCTATTGGTGGTGAATGGGCGATTTGGGGTAGATGCGTCCCCCCCGTGAACCTACCGCCCCCCCATGCCCCAACTTTGGATGGCTGGCGGTACGCCGTCAACCTGGCTACCGCCGGGGACATCGTAAGGCTCCCTAGAACAAATTCGCGCAACCAGGAAGTGGAACGAATGCAGCCACAGGCCTTCCGAGGGCACTTTTAAAACATATCAATTGTGCATGCCTATAACTTCCACATGATGATGGCCCCTGGAAGCCAACTGATGTATGTATATATAATTATTAATGTATATATATATATATATATATATATATATATATATATATATGGTCGCCCCCCCTGTGATCATACATCTCCGTCTTCCGTGTTCGCTCTCTCCCTCTCTCCTTCTCTCTCGCTCTATCCCTCTCTCTCGTTTTGTTGTTCTCTCTTTGCGTTTGTCTCTCGCGCTCTCTGTGATTGTCTGCTGCTGTCTTCGACTGTTTGTCTTTCGCGCTCTCTGTGATTGTGTTTGAGCTTTTCCAGCTTTTCCGAAAGAATACCCTGGTGAAAAACCTTGTGTTTTCCAGCTTTTCCAGCTTTTCCCAGAAACTGCCCTGGTGAAAAACCTTCTGTTTTCCAGCTTTTCCAGCTTTTCCCAGAGACTACCCTGGTGAAAAACCTTGTGTTTCCCACCTTTTCCAGCTTTTCCCAGAGATTACCCTGGTGAAAAACATTGTGTTTTCCAGCTTTTCCAGCTTTTCCCAGAGACTACCCTGGTGAAAAACCTTGTGTGTTTCCAGCTTTTCCAGCTTTTCCCAGAGACTACCCTGATGAAGGATTTTCACCAGGGTAGTCTCTGGGAAAAGCTGGAAAAGCTGGAAAACACAAAGTTCTTCACCAGGGTAGTCTCTGGGGAAAGCTGGAAAAGCTGGAAAACACAAGGTTTTTCACCAGTGTAGTCTCTGGGAAAAGCTGGAAAAGCTGGAAAAGCTGGAAAACACAAAGTTTTTCACCAGGGTAGTCTCTGGGAAAAGCTGGAAAAGCTGGAAAACACAAGGTTTTTCACCAGGGCAATCTCTGGGAAAAGCCGGAAAAGCTGGAAAAGCTGGAAAGCACAATGTTTTTCATCAGGGTAGTCTCTGGGAAAAGCTGGAAAAGCTGGAAAAGCTGGAAAACACAAGGTTTTCGCTAAGGATACCTCTGGGGGTAACTGGAAAAGCTGGAAACGTGACAGATCTCCATGTGTTGCTTGCGACAAAGCTGGAACATGTAGAATGTCATATGGGAAGCACATTTGCTAGCGAGGAGGCGGTGCGAGTTCTCAAGTCGGGCGGTTCTAATAACTGGACAGCACTGGCCGCTTGCTGCCCGCGCTCAGCTGCGTGGCGACGACGCATCGCCGTCGAAGGTGCCAATGCCTACGCACGCTCCACCCGCGGCGGGCCAGCGCTCGAGCTCGCCGCGGCGCCGCTCGCCACGCCGTCGTCCTCGAGCATCTGCGACAGCTCCACCTCGAGGGCGGGGCGCCGCTTCTTTGGCGTCGGCGTGATCAAGTCAATGACGCCGCGGCCCGCCGAACTCTTGAGGAAGCGGAAGGCCCCTTTCTCCCGCTTGACGGGCACGGGCTTCGGGGGCGGCGCAGGCGGCGCAACCGCCGCGGGCGCGCCGCCGTCGCCGTCCATCCCACCACCGAAGCCGAAGACGCCCTCTTCCTCTACGTCGCTGCCATCTGGGTTCGCAGGGGGATCAAGCGCGGAACGCGCGGCGCCGCTTGCGACGTCAGGCTCGCCGTCCAGCTCGGGGAACTGGTACCTCGGCGGGGCGTCTTGGTCGAACAGCGTGGGGCCGCGCACCGTCGACGAGCGCCCGATGTCGTCGCCCCTGGAAAACTTCTTCATGGCGGCCACCGACCACCTCATGTGCATGTCGTAGTCGGTCGGCGCGAACGTTTGGTCCTTCTTGTAGCGCCTCAGAATCGGCGTTGTCTCTGGCGTAAAGAGGTCTGGCTTATCGGGCGCTGGCCAAGGGAAGCGGGGAACTGGGTCCTTCGTCTTCGACGCCAATCGCAAGTAGATCCAGTCATCAGTCAGGAGCGCAATGTTGGACCTCGCCAGATACGCCTCCACGTCAGCCATCTAGTAGCCGCTCTGCTTCTCGCATACGAAATTGCAGTCAACGGTTTTCAGGAAATCTTTGAATGCGACCTCTTCCCTGCCTCTGCGTATGGGGCGGACCGTCTTCTCGAACTCCTCATTGCACGGTTTGATGCAGATCTGGCGGGACTGGTTCTGCGCGAAAGAGGCGCCGCCCCACCTACGCAGCGCGCGGACCGCGGCGCGCGAAACCTTTTCATTTCGCACCATACCAGAAACACACCAACATGAAACGTCTCTGTCGTTCGTTGTGTATGTTTCTGTTTGGCCGCGTGCGTTGTCCGCGCCCTGCTGCCTGGCCCATAGCAGCGCGTCCTCTTCTGCGGGGTCGAGAAAGGCCTTGATCTCATCGGGGGCCCACTTCGTGAGGACGGTGTCGTCAGCGATGGCGGGCTTGAAGACTGTCCCAGGTTCGAGCCGCAAGAAGTCCACCTTCTTCGTCGTGGCGACGCTCGCGCGGAGGTCGACGCGATCGTGCTTGTCTATCTGGCAGGCGGAGATCGCAAAGCCTATCGTTTTCGAAGCCGTCGATTTGCCGACCCTGGTCTTGCCAATCCACATCGCGCCGTGCACGTCATGGCTCTTGAGAATAGGGACCACGACGTGGTCGAACACGAAAGGGTGGAAGCGTTTGAGCGTGACCGCCCAACGCTCCAGCGTCTTCGCTCCAACAGAGCCTGACGCGTAGTTGCGGAGCGACTCCTTGACCTCTCCCGCCTGCCAGCCAAAGATCGGGGAGCTTTCGTCGTTGATCTTTTCGTCAGTCCATTCGACGAACTGGTTGCGATTGTTCGCTCGAGGGCCGAATTCCTCAATGAAGCGGAAGCCAGCCTTTCGCTTCCCCTTGTCGTAATTGCCGCCGCCGACGGCTGCCACCACTGACGGCTGGGCCCAATGACGGATCTGAACTCCGCCCAGCCTGTCCATCATGTAGTAGAAAAGCTTCAGGGGCGTGTTGTTGTCGGCCGAGCTCCCCCAATGAATTGTGAGCGCCCTGCCCGCGACGAAGATCTCCTTGGCGATGTCGGTCCGAACCTTGTCTTGGAACCTCGCGTATTTCAGGACGAACTGATGGCCGTTGCCCTCCTTCGGCAAAATATACAGCTGCATGGTAAATGCAAGTTCCCCAGGGTCCTTGTTCGGCTTGAATGGAGCAGGAAGAGCCATGTAGTTGCCGCCGCACATGGCGTCGTACACGTCGACTGTGTCCAAATGGTCCGCGGCGCCGTCCTCCAAGTTCACCCAGTCCACCAAATGCTTGAGGTTCACAACTTGGTCCGCGTATTGGAGCGGCATGTCGCGCAAGCAAAAGGCAGCGGGCGGATCTGACTGGAAGCGTTCGGGCTTGCCCAGCTTCTTGTATTGCTGCACCGCTGCCATGTGCAGCCACGTGCTTTTGATCTGCTCAGTGCAAGACGCGTCTCCACCGATGAGCTCCCCCATGGACTTGATGCCGCCAGCCGTGAGGCTCGCCATGGCACAACAGGGACGGACGCAGGAGTTCGAATGTAAACTCTAGCGGCGACGGAGGGCGGCGCGACGGCGGCCGCTCGAACCTGAAGGGCAACGGAACGGCGCTCTCCCCGCGGTCGCAGCCGCGCCTGCGGCGCGCGACCGCGCCCCCAACTGCTTCTCCTCCCGTTCGCTAGAAAGTGGGGGATCGCACGCGCAAGTCTCATAATGTCAACGGGGCAGCACTGGCCGCTTGCTGAACCCTACGCGGAAGCTGCGCAGCTACATAAAACGCAAAAGACACCCCCCATCACACTGCGCACTCACCGGCACGCCTCAGAAAGTTGGACCCATCAAGTCGCGAATCATTGCGCCCGTGGCCGCCTACAAATCTTGACCGCGATGCCAGCATTCCCACTGAGCCGAGCGAATGCGGGCGGCCAGTGCTCTACTGTGCGGCTTATAGGTCCGCGGGCCAATGTGGTTCTTCACGTGCTTCCAGGTCCGATCGATGATCTGGGTGCCTGTCTTCGCGCTGACCACGTTGCCGCTGGGGAGCTCGTGCTTCACGATCTTAGAGTAGACGGGCTTGAGCCACTGCCGCTTGCCCCCCGCCTTGACGCGCTTCTTGCAATGGATAGCCACATCGTGGAGCAAGCCAGGCGCCTTCATTTTATAGCTCCGTGCGCCGTCCGAGTGCAAGATTACCTTGCGATCTTTGAGGCGCTCCAAGAGGAAAGGCTTCCAGTCGGTCTTCTTGATGGCGCCTGGGCCAGGGGCATTCTTGGCGGTGCGGTCTGACTCTGTCTTGAACAGCACCAGCGTGGCTGGCCTGTCCCTCTGCACGACCCCCGCCCACTGCTCCCACTCCTTCGCCTCTTTGTCCTCCGTGATCGCAGTGGCAAAGACGGACTCGTCAGCCTCAATGTCCACCCACGTCTTGCCGTCTCCGAACACGATGTTCTTTCCGTATTTCTCCACATACTGCGCGCGCGCCACGTCAAGGTTGCGAGTGATGCCCTCGATCATTTTGTGGTTGACGCCGTAGCGGAGGTGGATCTGCGCGGTCGTCATCCCCGTGACGACGCCGAAGAGGACTCTCGTCTTGTCCTTCAAGGATGACGTCTCCTTCCCCCAGCCGCTGGAGAAAATTGGATGGCAATGGGTGGGCCGCACCTGCTTGCCGCAGTTCCTCCCATCGTTGCACCGCCATGCGCAGCCAGAGCCGCCATCCCACTCCCTGACGCATCGGTCGCCGAGGGTGCCCTTGCCGCAGAAGGGGCGCGTCAACCTTGCCCAGTCGAGCAGAATTCCGTCTTCGATTAAGAGGTCCACGAGCTTGCTCTCGTTCTCCACGTGGAAGGAATCAATGTTGCGGCACCACGTGTCGCGCTCCATCCGCGTCTTCTTGGTGCCTCCAGCAGTGCGAACGCACTTGACGTCGCCCGCCTGCTTCCCCCTCCTGCCCTGCACGCGGCCCTTCCCACGCTTGGGCGCTGTGTAAGGGTTGAAAGTGATCGCGGGGCGCTTGAGGCAAGCGCCCTTCTGCGCTCCACGAACCGCTGCGGCGGGGCGCTTCGCCACGCGGCCAGCAGAAGCAGCGGCGCGCGCCTTGGCACGGGGGCGCTACGGCAGAGCAATCGCGAGCTAAGGCTAGAAGCAGTTTGAGCCAAAGCGGCAGCTGTCGGGGCGCGTTAGTTTCCATCGGGCTGCAGTTTCTAAGCCTTGGGCTTCCTCCTAGGGCCATGGGCTTCCCCCTGAGTCTGTTCTGGGGCCTTGGGCTTACTCCCCCAGAAGATTCGACCTTCAACCTCCGAACGCCCAGCAACGACCACAGTAAAAACAGTTTTTTTTATAAAAAAACAATAGGTTAGAAGATCGTTTGGGCCCCTGCGCTTTTAAGAAAAAAAAACTACATGGGCCGCAGTGGCCCCCCCCTTTCTGTTTTTTTCGGGGCCGAGGGAACCGAATGCTGAAGCGGCGACAAGCGGAACGGCGATGGCGATGATCGACAGAGCGTTTTGCAATCAGCTCGGGGCGCTGCGGCATGGCGTTCGCGCGGGGGTCCTTCTTCCCCGACATAGCTCAAGCTCCGCTTCAAAAAGACACTAATGATTTGAACGTTCATATGCCAGTGGATGGCAAGCGCCGTGCCCTAGACAGAGCATCGCACCTGGAACGCGGCCGCCAGCGCCCTGAAAGTCACTTCCTGCTCAACGGCCTTGATGTGGGTGCGGAATCTATGCTCGGCAAGGAGCCTCGACCACTTCTGTCTGTTGGCCTTCTTGGGCAACATGCCGCCGTAGAGCTTCCTGATCCATCGCTTGATCAATGATCATTGAAGCTCTATGTGGTTGGTAGTGAACCCTCTCTCGTTCGTGATCTCGCCAGCGCTGTGGTTCACTACCTCGTGCGGCAGCATCCGCTCGGTGAGGCCCGCGTCAGTGCGGTACTGCTTCACGGCAGCTATGGTCCCCTTCCACTTGTCCGAGACAATGATGACCCCAGCGAGCGGCGACAACTCCTTGAAGTTGTCCAAGAGCTCCTTCTTGCCCTCGCTGGTGTCGTTGCGTAACACGTGTGCGACCACGTGGCCTTGTGTTCAGGCACAGTGATGGTAAACCGTTTTTGGGGGTTCCCTCCTGGGTCCGCGTCCACCGCAGAGGGGCCTCCGTTTTGGATGCCCCTCCAGAGTAGCGCCGTGGAAGCGCTTTGCAGTGTCGAAGACTTGGTTTGTGGTGTGGTGTCATCACTGATGCTGAGGCGTTGCTGGTGTCGTTGCGTAACAAGCGTGCGGCCATGTGGCCTTGTGTTCGAGCACAGTGGTGGGAACCCGTTTTTGGGGTTCCCCCCTGGGTCCGCGTCCGCCACGGAGGGGCATCCGTTTTTCGGGTGCCCTCCAGGAGTAGCGCCGTGGAAGCGCTTTGCAGTGTCGAAGTTTCGGTTTGTTGTGTGGTATCATCACTGATGCTGAGGCGTTGCTGGCGCCCTTGCGTAACAAGCGTCCGACCATGTGGCCTTGTGTTCGGGCACAGTAATGGCAACCCGTTTTTTGGGTTCCCTCCTGGGCCCGCGTCCGCCACAGAAGGGCATCCGTTTTTGGATGCCCCTCCAGAGTAGCGCCGTGGAAGCGCTTTGCAGTGTCGAAGTTTCGGTTTGTTGTGTGGTATCATCACTGATGCTGAGGCGTTGCTGGTGTCGTTGCGTAACAAGCGTGCGGCCATGTGGCCTTGTCTTCGAGCACAGTGGTGGGAACCCGTTTTTTGGGTTCCCTCCTGAGTCCGCGTCCGCCACGGAGGGGCATCCGTTTTTTCGGGTGCCCTCCAGAGTAGCGCCGTGGAAGCGCTTTGCAATGTCGAAGTTTTGGTTTGTTGTGTGGTATCATCACTGATGCTGAGCCGTTGCTGGTGCCCTTGCGTAGCAGGCGTCCGACCATGTGGCCTTCTGTTCGGGCACAGTAATGGTAACCCGTTTTTTGGGTTCCCTCCTGGGTCCGCGTCCGCCACGGAGGGGCATCCGTTTTTGGATGCCCCTCCAGAGTAGCGCCGTGGAAGCGTTTTGCAGTGTCGAAGACTTGGTTGGTGGTGTGGTGTCATCACTGATGCTGAGGCGTTGCTGGTGTCGTTGCGTAACAACCGTGCGGCCATGTGGCCTTGTGTTCGAACGCAGTGATGGGAACCCGTTTTTGGGGTTCCCTCCTGGGTCCGCGTCCGCCACGGAGGGGCATCCGTTTGTTGGATGCCCCTCCAAAGTAGCGCCGTGGAAGCGCTTCGCAGTGTCGAAGTTTTGGTTTGTTGTGTGGTATCATCACTGATGCTGAGCCGTTGCTGGTGTCCTTGCGTAACAGGCGTCCGGCCATGTGGCCTTGTGTTCGGGCACAGTGATGGTAACCCGTTTTTGGGGTTCCCTCCTGGGCCCGCGTCCGCCACAGAGAGCATCCTTTTTTGGATGCCCCTCCAGAGTAGCGCCGTGGAAGTGCTTTGCACTGTCGAAGACTTGGTTTGTGTATGAACATGTGGGGAGGAGACAGGTTGAAAGGAGAGGGTGGGGAGGGAGAGGGGGAGGATGAGGAGGAGGAGGAGGAGGAGGAGGATGATGATGACGAGGAGGAGGAGGAAGAGGAGGAGGAGGAGGAGGAGGGGAGGAAAAGGGGGAGGATGAGGAGGAGGAGGAGGAGGACGACGACGACGACGATGAGGATGATGATGAGGAGGACGACGACGAGGAGGATGAGAAAGAAGGCGAAATGTATGATCACAGGGGGGCGAGCAATATATATATATATATATATATATATATATATATATATATATATATATGTGTGCGTGTAAATGTATGTGTACATGTATACGCATATGTATGTGTATTCGCGTATATCTATACATGCATCCACACAGGTATGTAGATACACACATGCGTATGCATGTGTTTATGTATGTGTATATGCATGCATGTATGTGTATGTATATGGTGTCTACGCATGTGTAGATGTCTGAGAATGAATACGTGCACATGCATAATCATATGAACTTGCACATGCGTATACACATGTAATTGGACATGTAAATATACACACATGTGTGCACATGCATACATATAGATATAGATATATACACATGCCTGTGTGTATGCGTCTTCACGTGCACATGTATTGCATGTGTGCATGCATGCGCTAGACTGGTGTATATGTATACATATATATATATATATATGTATATATTAAAAATACGTACATATGTACATATAAATACGGCACCTACATCTATGACACTGGGTAAATTGACTGTATATATACTGCTCTAAAACAACAGCCTCATAACCCAGAGTGCGTCAGACAAATCGGAGGTTGGCGCCCTTCGACTTCAAGGACCGCAGCGCGGCGGCCAATGCGCTGGCCAATGCCGAGGCAGCTTCTGCATGGGAGCGTGCCGCTCCTGGTTTCAACACCAGGGCCAGATCGGACTTCAGCGGGTGCCCTCTCAAGTCCGTGCTTGCGTTTTCCAAGCCAACACCGGCCGCGGGGG